GTGGACGAGCGCGGGTGCTTTTGTTTAAATTCATTCTCGACATTTTGGTTTGGCGCCGCCTCCGCACTTCTCCAGGCGGGGATCGGCGCCCTCATCGGCCCCCGCAAGGCTGAGCAGTCCACTCGAGACGGCCGCGGTCGCATTGTTTCCTCCGGACCCGCCCCGTCTGGGAGGTCGCACGGCCTGCAGCATTTGGGAGCGCAACTTTGGTGGTTCGGCGTTTGGCAAACGGGTTTTCGCGCGTGCCGCGGCGCTGCGGTGCTCGAGTGGAGGAGACTGCCGGTGAAGCTGCCGCTTCCACCGCCCCCGGGCGTGACGCTGCCGGACTCGGTGCGAGTCTGTGGGTGGGCGGCCCGCTTCACGGCGGACAGCGACGATGCGTGGGCCACGCACGATGCGCAGGTTGGCGAGACAACAAATCGCCCCATCGCTTTTCGCGGACCCCGCGGGCGGCGTGGCCGGGAAGAGGCAGATTGGGCTGCGCATGGGCGCTGTGTTAGGAAGTATTCGCGCGCAGACGCGAGGGAAATGCGCGCCACCCGCCGCCGCAGCAAATGAATCAAGCGCGTCCGGGTCTTCATCCGGAAAAGAGCAGCGCCCCGCAAGAGACACAGGGACGACGGCTGGGTGGATTGCCGGGAACCCCCGCGCATTTGGCAGACGGATCGCTCATCCGTAAATATCCACGGCGGAATTCGGCGGTTTGCGGCCGCGGCCCGCGGAGCGGTGAAGCGCACTGTGCCGCATGCAGTGGCCAAACGCCCGCCGCTCCGGACGCCGAAAAGGGCCGCATCGGAGAGGCGCGGGAACTTGCCGCTTCGCCGCCTCGCACAGCAGCGACGAACGCGTCTCCGCAACGTCGCATTTGCTCGCTGGAAGGAGCGGTGCTCGCGACCGGTGCCGGGGGAGGCGGCAAGCTGCGGCCCCGCCGAGGCAGTCTACGTCCCGCGCCCCGCCGGTTCTCCTGTTGCGGCGGCGGATGGCCGACCGACCGCCACAAAGGAGCGCGCCGACACCTTGGCGCGAGTGTGCGCCGCCACGTCTGATTTCCCTTTGCGGAGCTTGACGCTGCATCGCGGGAGATGCGTCTCCGGAGTGCGCCGGGGCTTGGTGCGCTTCACTGCGAGGCCCTGCACCAACTGCCCCCCGCCGCCTGCAAGGAACTCGCGGCCGCGTTCGACGGGAGCATCGGCGACGGTGGCGCTCCGGCTTCCCGGGAAGTGGGCATTGCAATTGTCCCACTCCTCAAGCCTGGGAAGCCGGGCAAATGTTTCCCGCCTCGCTTCGGCCCGTCGCCCTCACCAGCTGCCCGCGTAAGCTCGTGGAAGGAATTGCGGCGCGACGCATCCGCGGCACAGTTGAAGCCCAACTTCTTTCCCAGCAAGTTGGTTTTCGCCCTGGTCGCTCCACGCTGGATCCGTTAGCTCGCCTGATTGCTGGGATCATTTCACCGTGGCAAGCGGGGGAAGGTCGGTGCGGTGCTGGTGGGCCACGCTGGGGCCTTCGGCTCGGTTGATCGCGGCCGCATCCTTCACGCACCCCGCGCGCACAAGGTGGCGCCGTGCCTGAGCCTGTGGGAGGCGGACTTCCTGCACAGCCGCACGGCCAAAAGCCGCGTGTACAAAATACGCTCTCCGCACCGGTTCATTTCACCCGTGGCGTCCCGCAGGGTTCGTGCTCGGCCCGCCGCCGCCCACCGTTGCCGCGAACAGCCCCCGGTGAGGAGCTGACGAGAATTCCCCACCCTGAACTTGCTTTCTCCACTGA